CCCCAAAACCCCAAAACCCCAAAACCCCAAAACCCCAAAACCCCAAAACCCCGAATATTTATAAAGGAATAGAATAAGACTAAATATTAATTATTTTTGCTAAAATGGAAAGCACACCTCGCCATGAAGGAAGCAAAGAAGTCAATACAACTCAGACAATCAGGGAGTAAGACATGCTAAGCCTTGCTTGTTGGGGAATGATAAATATATACATGGGTGTTCATCTTGGCTCATAATCTGCATAAAGAGCGTTGATTATTACCTACTTGTAGTAGCTTAAATCCTATGTTTGTGCCCATTCTGGATTTTCAGGCAAATTATTCTTCCCTCATTACCTATATAGCTTGGAGAAGTCAGTCCAGACTAAATGTAACAAAATACGATGGGAAGTATTACATTCCCTTTATCAGAATCTACTTGGAAGCAAGTTTAAAGATTGGAAGCACAATTTTAAATTTTGGACATCAATCAGTGTTAACCCATTTTTTGAGAACTTTGAAATAAACCTTAACGATCAGGACCATAGGGCCTTAATCAATAAGACCAAGTCCTTGAAACCCATTGATGTTCAAGAAATGAATGTTTCGGATCTGAAGAGGAAAGATAGAAACTGGAATGGTTTCATTTCTTTGTCGTTCCCTGAAAAGGTAAATAACCTTTGCTTCAAAGCTCAGGATGGATTTATGCCTAGCATCTCTCTTTATTTGGTAGATATTGTGAGAGTAAGCCCTAGAGTTTCTGATTCCATATGTATTTGAGGCTTTAAAATCAGTTTAAATCACCTTAAGAGACTGATATGTTCTTATAAACATGTAAACCTGATAGATTTCTCTGATAGCTTTCTTCTAATTCCTGATGTTCCTGATTTCTCAGAGGTTTTGATAAATAGTCAGATCGAATCACTAAGCTTCTCTGGTTGAGAATCTTCAGAACAGATAGAAACCTGGGATGAAGAATATAAAAAATTTAAAAATCTAGTTGAAGGGCTGGCTACTTCTGAAGATTTGAAGAGGAGTCTCAAAAATATTCAGTTTGAAAACTGTCAAATTAAAAGCCATTGTCTTAAACAACTACTTGATGAGAATGGGTTCAGAGATATTAATTTAATGTATATCTTTTAAAATACTGAGATTTGGTATTTCAATATTTTCTACGATTTTGGGGTTTTGGGGTTTTGGGGTTTTGGGGTTTTGGGG